GGCCTTTACTAAACCTTAACCCAAATTTAAACCAAACATTATGACCGGGAAAAAAAAAAAAAAAGGCCCAAAAAAAAAAAAAAAAAAAAGCAAGCTCCATACAGCAAGGTGATTCGGCAACCATTTCAACCCCTGGTCACTAACAGCGTTTTGAAAACACCGGCACAGAGGAACTGTGCTGGCTTAAGCACGTGCAGAGACAGGCAGCCGAGCTCTGCGTTCCCAGGATCTGTACTGAAAGCAAAACTGCACGCTTCAGGAATACAGAAAATACCTTTTCCCAACAATCTCAACGCTCCCAGAATCTACAAGTCACCGAGGGTTTTGTCCGGTGCATATAACCCGGGAGCTGGCAAAACCCGTCCTGGGTCTGATTTGTAAAATTTAAGTGAACCCTGCAACAACCCAGCCTCCCAAACTGCATCTTCTGCTCCTGCCAAGCCCTGGGATTTTCCGTTGTGAAAGTTTCCACCGATCCTCAATCCAACAACTGGAACAAAAGCAAGAGAGATTTCTAAATAATCAAAAGCGCCAGCGTAAAACCGGCATCCTTTCAGTTCGGACAGCCTCCTCCTCTTTATCTGCTTTTACACAGAGGCAGTACAACGCTGCGGGCTGTGGAAAAATGCAGCGAAAAGCTGGTAGTTACGGGGGGATTTCCGATGTCCCCATTTTTCACGAGTCAAAGAGAACACTTCTTCTCTCAGCAGCTACTTTTACCATGGTCTGTGCTACCCTTTGCCTAAATACCATTTATCTCTGCCTGTAGCTTCCTGCAGAGGGAGGAGAAAGTGCAACAGGAGCATTAATATTTTTCAGACGTAAGTACAGCCTCAAGAATGTACGTGGCTCGACACAGCCGAAAGGAATTCCCCCTCCACCCACCGCACGCTGTTGCTGCTGTCCCTGTAGTCACCTTTTTTTGAAGCCAGCACTACCCGAGTCCCTGCCTGTTCTGTGCAAGTCAGGACCGAGAGCTTGGCACGCAGCAAGGCCGCATTAAATAGGCTGTTGAAATATTTATTTTTTCACTCACTTCTCAAACGTTAACAACAAAAGATAATTCTGGGGAGCCCACAGGATTCAGAAACAGTCATTCATTTTCCGATGGTGCTTCTACAGAATACAAAACTGATTTTCTTTTGCTTTCCATGGAGACTTTTTTTTTTTTAATATCTCGCAAACTGTAAAAGCAAATGAAAGGGATAATGTGAAAGGCAAACACAAGGAGTTACCGCCACGAATCACTCGAAGCCAGATCCTCCAAGTTACTTCAGCGTGGAGGAATGTGACTTTCCCGAGATCATTCATGAGTGTGACAACAGGCACATGCTTAACTACCCCGTGAAGCGAGACTCCGGACACACACTATTATTTTAGTCTCTAACAATTTGAACACAGGAGTCACCTGGAAAGGCCCGAGAATTCTGCCAATCTTCAGGATACAGCTTGGGGAAAGTGCTCTTTTGCATCTCAACTACTGAAGATCCGTTTAATCCATCGGGAACTAAAACAGGGGTGGACGTTACATCAAGGTCACAGGAATGCAATAATTAACACGGTGACTTACAGAGGGAAGGGCCAGGAGCCAGCAATTGCTCTTTGAACACCTGAGTGCCGACGGCCAAAGTGTCAGGAAAGAGGAGAGCTCTCTGGAACGAGGCTTTCTTGTCTCTAATTCAAACATTTCCCACCCTGATGTGTCGGGGAAGGGACACAGAGCAAGGCCGCGACTGCTGTGTCCAGGGCTCGCGTGCGAATGCATCGGAGGAGGTGAGCGGCTCTCCATCAGGGTGAACGCCAAAGTTAAACCAGGCTTTGCCAGCTCTTCACGCCGTCTCCCTCTGCCCCACCTGCACCTCTCAAATGCCAAGAATTCACGATGGCTCTTGTCACAGGACGTACGCACAGATACACATCGCAGCTCCCAAATCAGGCCAACAACAGAACTCTGCCTCAGCAAAACAGCGTTAAAATACTGCTTTCATCACACAGCATCAAGGGGTTATGGACAGAAGGCAAAAAAAAAATATTTCAGACATCCAGCAGCAAAATATTGAGGAAAACCGCTCCAAAACATGTCTGCTCTTACGCTCAAGAGTGATTCTTAGGTGAAAGCAATCTGATGAACTGTCTGTG